TATTGGAGGGGTGACAGGTAAGCATCTAACATGGATGAAAAATTTCCTAACTGGTAGGAAAATGAGGGCCGTAATCGGAGGCAATGTATCGGATTGGAGGAATGTCACAAGTGGAGCACCAGAGGGTTCAGTTCTTGCACCGGTAATGTTCATTGTCTACATAAAAGATCTACCAGATGGAATACAGAATTATATGAACACGTTTGCTGATGATGCTATGATAATAGGGAAGATAAGAAACCTAGATTACCTAGGCCTGTTACCTAGAGCCTGTTACCTAGCAGTAAATAGGTACCTGGGTGTTAGTCAGCTGTCATGGGCTGCTTCCTGGGGGTGGAGGCCTGGTCGAAGACCGGGCCGCGGGGACACTAAAGCCCCGAAATCATCTCAAGATAATCTCAAGATAGATGATTGTCATGCCCTTCAAGAAGACCTGGGCAAAATAAGTATATGGAGCAACACTTTACAAATGAAATTTAATGCAAATAAATATCATGTTATGGAATGTGGAATTGGAGAACATAGACACCCACACAACCTATAAATTATGTGAGAAATATTAAAGAATTCTGAGAAAAAAAGGGATCTAGGGGTGGTTCTAGATAAAAAACTGTCACCTGAGGGCCACATAAAGAACATTGTGCGAGGAGCCTATGCTACACTCTTTAACTTCAGAATTGCTTTTAAATATATGGATGGTGAAATACTAAAGAAAATGTTCACAACCTTTGTAAGACCAAAGTTGGAATATGCGGTGGTTGTATGGTGCTCATATCTTAACACTTTCGCGCTATCCGGACGCATCGGCGCGTCCCGTTTCGTCTAACGCAAACGCATAGTGGACATAAAGTTGAGTCCTCTTTTGAAATATTTGTATAAAATTCAATTTTTATCCGATTTACTTTGGGTTTGTTTCAAACTGCGCGCTATGAGGCTCTCTTTCTCACCACTAGGCTGCATGGTACAATAAGTTCATGAAAGGTGTGGATAACTTCGATCAAATGGTATTTTGTCCCAAACGGGTTGCAGGTGGGTGACTTTAGCCGTTTATACTGGTAATGCTTCCCCCATATCATGTATTATATGCATATGTCTGTTTAGGGAATTTTATTCCGATCAATATACAACCAAAAATAACTGTGTGCAACAAGTATAAACTTGACAAACATAACAAAAGTAAAAACATTTCGTGTGTGTTTGACGCTCACTGATATGTTCCAGCGTTGTTTTATATTTGGCGCTATTCTAACTTACGCTTTGTTGATATTTGTTACCTATGGGCACATAGAACATTCTATTGTGAACACATTGACACAAAAATGAATGACGTACATAGAAAATTATTGTCATGAGAGTGAAATAAGTATAAACTTTCAATGCGCCGTGCGTCGTCCCGTCACCGATACCGGGTAACAATTTCACCTCTTCGCACACTCTTGCAGGCGAGCCGCATCATTATTCTACGCTTATATTCATATCACCGTGTTGGGAATTTCATTGCGAGTCCATTGATACCAAAATTAACGCTGTAGAACAAGTGTGGAGGTGATTACAATCCCAAGAGTAAAAACATTGTTGCTGATGGGCGCTCACGGCGAGTCATCTTCGTAGTTATTTATTTGGTGCTGGTATCCCTATACGTTTCGTGACTTTTTTTACTGATGTTCTTCTAGAGAATTTTATTGCGAACACGTTGGTACCAAAATGAAATACGTAGCATGAGAACTAAGGTCAGAAGAGTAAAAAGAGTATACACATTTTTGTTTTTACGCTTAAGCGATAAAAACGCAGCGCGCACATTCGGTTGGCTGAGTGACCTTTGCGGAGAGCGCGAAAGTGTTAAGAAGCATATCAACAAACTGGAAAAGGTGCAAAGACATGGCACTAAGTGGCAGTGTTTTTTTTTTTTTTCTGTCCTTCCTTTTCTTTCTGTCCCTTCTTAGGTGGCTGTGTTTGTTGGTGTCGGCTTGTCCTTCCCATATGGTGGCTGGGGGCCATCATCTTGCCACATACTGTTGCCTCGTATTGTACGGTGCTGGTGGAGCCACTTCAGCTTGCTGTCGGTCTTGCTGTAATGTCTGCGCTGTTTCGCAAGCTGTCATGCATTGTTTCACCTCTGGCCTGCTCATGCGCTGCCTGACCCGTCCTGGTCATTGGACAGTGTGCTCTCTTTTCTCCTCGGTTTGTTGTGGCCATTTCGGTTCAGGATTGGTTCTCGATGGCTCTTTTTTCTGTTGGCATTGGCCTCTGGGGGTCGGGTCGGTGAGCTTCATGCTCTCCTGCGCAGGGGTTTCTGCTCCTTCGGTCGTGACGATAGCTTTGTTCTTCTGCAGCCGTCTCCTTCCTTTCTGGTAAGGAATGAGACTGCTGCTTTCCGGAGAGGTCCTTAGGTTGTTGTGATGCTTGTTTGTTCAGGCTGGGGGTGCATCATGTTTTGTGTCCGGTTGTGGCCCTCCGCCGTTATTTGCGCGCCACGGCTTCTGTGTCAGGGGACGGGCTTTGGGCTGATCCGGTTTTCCTTCTAACCTGTTCCCGGGTGCAGGTCTCCCAGGTCGTCCGCAGGCTTCTTTGGGCTAGCCAGCCTGAGGCCTACCCCTGTGTCCATGATGTTCGTACATTTGCTGCTCTTGCTGCCATCTTTTGGCAACATGTCCTGGGCTGACATTCGGGCGTGGAGTTTTTGGCGGTCGAACAGGGTCCTGGCTTGTGGTACCTCGTGTACGTTCCTGGGCCTAGTTGGACCTGTGTCGCTTTGGGTTGGCGGTGGCAGCCAGTTGTCTCGACTTCAAGTTGAGTGGTGAGCAGAGTCCACCTCCCGGGTATGTCCCTCTAATTTCCTCTGTTGGGTAGTTGGCCCCGGGGGAAGCTGACGGGGCTCCTCCCAGAAAACCAGCATTGAATGTAATGAAATGCCATTTTTCTGGGCGAGACCCGGAGGCAACGTGTGATGTCATGCTCATTTGCTTGTTTCTTTTGGAGTTCTATCCACTTGTTCGGCTTTTGGTAGCAATTTTCACCAGAATAGGGGCTTGTTTTGGGACGCTTACCTTTCTGGGTGCCTGACCCTGTCGATGGCAGACATAGAATGCTTCCAACCACACAGGGGTTTCTATAGGCCATTGCTCCCCTTGCCTCATCTGTGGGGGCCAGGTACTGGCTCGTGGTCCCCGGTAGGCCCACTGAACTCCATACACATGACTGGTGCCAAAGTCTGACATTAGCATATCAGCCTGGAAAGCTCCGGGGAGCCTCCGGGTCTCGCCTAGAAAATGGCATTTCATTTCAATACTTTTTTTTTTTTCCACCTGTGGATGTTGAAGGCCAAATAGTCCAGAGCAGCTTAGGGGTTAAAGATACTACTGGTCCTTACCTTTGGTACATGTAGACCATACAGTAGCTTCAGTGTGCATGGCTCCTGCACATGTCTGCTGGTTGATAGTAGCACACACTCGGCAATAGGCGATTCGTTCGAGTCTCTTCACTTCGAACCTCCGTCTCGCCCATTCTTCTGTGAGATGACTTAAAGGAGGAATCTCATACCACGTTGACACCTCTTGTGCACCAGCTCAGCACTCTTCTTGGGTGTCTGGCTCTTGAAGAAATGTCGTCCACTTGACTATGATGACTAAGTGGGTCAATCTTGTGGTCACCGCGATTTGCCATGCCCTCGGCAATCTTTTGCCCTAATCCCAGCGAATTCGTTTGCAAATGAGGTTGCTGGGCCTCAGTCTTGTTGGATCTCAGCCGTGACTGAATCAGTCCCGCACATAAACTTCTAATTGCTGAGATCTGGTCAACAATGACTGGATGACAGGGACAGAACTTGTTTCTCGATTAGATCTCAAGAGTGAAGTCCCTGAACTGTCTCGGTTCACCTTCATTTTTGCAGTGTGACATCATCATCTTGAACAACGATGATTGTTCCACACTGGTTGTGCTTGCACATGTGGAGTTCACAAGCCAGCCCGTTCTGTGGTTTCCCAACATCACGAAACTGTCGTATTAATGTGCCATTATCCTAACCCACCAGAGGACCCAAAACACAAAACAGGAGAGTAAGTCAATTATATAAACCACTACCATTTTCTAGCAAAACAATTTCTGGTATTTTCATGCAGGTAAAGTCTGCATGAAAATAAAAGACACTATTAGGAGGTCGGGTGGCACAAGACATTACTCATCCGGGATTCCCCACCTCTCGTCCAAGAGGCGATACATCTGGTCCTGGTTCCTCGTCACTACACCATTTCCTCATTAATGCTATGCAAATACTCATTTATACCTTACCTACCTATGTTTGTATATTTAACACCTGCAGGTATGAACAAATACAAACAATTTAGGTAATTACACTTAGGTAATTACAAATATGGAGGGCAAAGGTTAGGAACAACTATCATCTAAAGACAGTCTTGGGTAGATTATATCACAACATGTTATACCTCCACTTCAGTGTTTCATTTCATTCAGTGCTTCATTCTTTATGAATAATATTGTTACTATTTTAAATTGAGACTACAAACTACTTTTGCACCAATCCATACATATTTAATCACTTTTCATCTTTCATGGGTAAATTTAGAGTTTTAAGTTAATGTTATAATAGTTTTATCTGCTATACTGAGACATTCTATGAAGCCTCATTATGTGAAGCATAATAGAACTGTTGCAGAGGAGGTTCAGTTCAGAGGTAAATCAATTTTTAACCACAAATCCTTACCAGATTTATGTATAGTACTATGTTGTATTCACCTAGTTGTGCTTGTGGGGTTGAGCTTTGGCTCTTTGGTCCCGCCTCTTAACTGTCAATCAAGTGGTGTACAGTTGATTGTGTTTAAATCGACCATTGAGACATTTTTAAAGTTAATGGCAGACTTATAAGAAGAATATAAGAATAATGGTAACTGCAGTAGGCATATTGGCCCATATTGGGCACCTCCCAAACTCATTCATGTATCCTATGCTTCAAACAATCATTTTAAAGTTGCTTTTTCTGTTGCAGCTTTTAGAAATGTTTGGAGCAGGAACCGCTGCAGTGGTGACACCTGTGGGAGAAATTCACTATGAAGGCCAAGTTGTTAAAATTCCCACCATGGAGCACAAGCACCCGCTCACACAAAGGCTCTTTGATGCCATCAAGGACATACAGTATGGCCGTGTTCAAAGTGAATGGACTGTCCTCATTGAGTGAAATCAGTGAAGCTTGAGTAAAATACTGGTTGTGACACTTAATGCAGATTTCTGACTACAGGTATATTTTAGTTAGTATTATGAATTATTACACAAGTAGTATACCACAACATTCTGAAACTTTATGAAACACACTGAAAGAATTTTGTTATGCTTGTTTGTCTGCAGATACTGTTGTACAGCCATCAAACACAATATACAATGCTACATATTTATTATTTTGTTTTTGACAATCAAAATTTTGTTTTGTTGAGAACATCAGTTTTGTTATGCAAGTGGTTATTGATATATAATAACTCTCTCAATATTGCAGTTAAATTTAATGTAGTATTATAGGTAATACATTAAAATGATTACTATATATTTAGAAATAAATTTTAATGTTAGGATTTAAAAGGAATAGTATATTTAGACTCGAAGTTATTGTGCAAATAGCATTCACAAGCATGATTATATTATCCACTGCATGAAGTAGAAAATAAGTTATTTATATCACTTGAGCTGTACCATTTGAGCACGTAGGAATGTGTGTACTGTATGTGCTCTGCTTAACAGAGCCGTAGCTGCAGGCAGTATCAGAAAGAAGCATATGGCACAGTCAGAAAGGTTGTAAATGATGTACTTTATAACTGGTTAAAGAAAGCACAAAGTGATATAGAGAAATACTAAGTAGAGAGTAAACTTTGTTGTGTATAATGTGTTGCCTGTAAGAATTTTATAAGACTTAAGAATAAATGGTTATAGATTGTCTTGCCCATAAGGATGTGATAAGATCTGATGAAGGCATAAAAGATCATTTGTCTTTAACAGATATACCGTGGGAGAGCTGCATGTAACGAGGGAAAATGTTTAATTGCTACAAATCTCTATTGTATTTGCCGGCGTAAAAGATGCTCCCTTACCTAGAATGCACCCCTATTTTAGAAGGATATTTTGTGGAAAAAATTATATTAGTATGTTTCTTCATACAATTATTTTAAGATATTTTGAATTGTATTTTGTACCTCAACTCTTATGATCAGCTGTGTAGTTGTTTATAGTTTGGACAAGAGAATTACTATATAGGCTGTGAAACTTGTATTTCTGGAGGTGATGTTTTGTGTTACCATGACAGGCCACCAGGCCGGCGCACCCGGTCATGGCACACTATCACAGTGCTCTGGTTTTGTTGTCATTCACTCATTGCAAATGGCTGACAGGCAGATGAAAGTTTAACATTCCTTTCAAATTTCTAGGAGCATTTTTCATTTAGATAATGGATAAATGTTTCTTAAAGGTAAGACAATCGTTAAATAATGCATGAAATATATCAAGTGTGGATTATGTATGCTGGGTAAGGTGGTGAGATGATGTGAACTTTCTTCATAACTGCCAACATATCATAAGCAATTTTTGGTTAGTTTGTGATAACAGACTGCGATAACTCGGCTTGTTTTCAATTTTTTATTATTAGCAATGATTTTTGTCTAGCAAACTTACCTAATGTGCTCGTTTGGCTCCCTAGCCTACGACATTCGGTTTCAAATCCGTAATACAGCAGCATTAGACACACGGCAATTTTTTTATACATTTAAAAATAAAAAAATGTGCGTCTTAGACGGTGGCAAATACGGTACTTGCTTCTAATGACATTTTCTCTTTTGATGACGAGTTTAATGTCTGTAGTATACCAGAGTTCTTAAAGTTATGCATGTGGCATCATATTAATGTTTGTAAATCCTTCTGCCGAAGCTTCTGCAATATGTGTTTCTCGTATCCATTTGTGCCAGCAGTTTGATGGATATTATAGATAGAAGTTAAGGATAAAATATACAACTGCTTGAATATGATCTACAGCATCTTCAAGCAGTTTGTGTTTGTATTCTGTGGCATTTGACAATGATACTTCAAGGCCGAGTATCTCGGCCTTGAAATTTGCAAGTACATGATCTGGTACATATGTTGCCATCTGGTGGTGACAACATATAACTTTGCTTCTGTGATGCCATGACCCACTCCTCCCTCTGTAAGATCTTTGATGTGAATTATTAAATGTGTGTACATTTGACCTTGCCTCCAGTCTTCACCTCATACATGTGACTTCACCTTAACCTTCACCTCACACATACATGAGTAGTCATGTGTGTGATATCACTTTCAACCTATATCTGACCACTTATTTTTTTTTCTCTCTACAAGCTTCCAACTCCTTGTATATTTGTTAGAACTAATAGTCTTTGCCTAGATTTACAAGTCTGTGGCTAGATATAATATAGTTGTTACAGGCAAGATGTAAAATGTACACAAGAGGGTGTACTCTCAACGTGGTGATTCTCTACATAATTCTTGTACAGCATGTTTATATCAGTATTTGTGGCATTTTTATGTTGATAGCCACTTGATGTACAAATTAATCAATGCTAGATTAGGTTAATTATGTTTATGTTGCAACATCACAAGGTATGGTGACCGGTGCACATTAACGGGACTCAGAAATGATCAGTAAATTATGTTGTAATGTACAAATATGATTTTGAGCAAATGTAGTAGTAATTAGTGAAATGAGGAATGTGAGTTGCCAACACCTGTTAGGGAGTAAGAATTCTTGCTGTCTGTACTTGGCAACAATTTGTTAGGCAATACTGTAAATAATTCTAGTTGTGCACATTACTCTCATTGTAAACATAAACAAATTTACTTGTACACTGAAAATAATATAGGAAAACCTCGTTTAGCAATTCGTGCCGATTTGTTATGTTGCTGTTTTTTCTTTGAATTCGTTTCTTCTAACATAAAAAAATAGTTAATAAATCTATTTCAGTAATGTCTGCACATTTAATTTATAGTACACATGAAGACAATAACCCTACCTTTTTGAAAACGCGAGGAAACGTATAATGTATATTTCGTATGTACGTGTATAACTATATATAGTATAGTTATACTATATAACTCAATAAAGTAGGACACCCCTAATTAGTTCCTGTCGAAGTTTTAAAAGTTGTGAAAACAAATTACTTACAAACTGACACCACTAGGCAGCAGGAGATCACTTCTAAGAGCAGCCCTTGGTGATATTTAGCGCCCTTTGATTATTCCGCACATTTGAGGGTGCTACATAGCCTTCCCGGTTTGGTGCCTTCTTTTGATAATTACTAAGAGCAGCTTAATCATTCCATATAGTTCTAACATGGAGAATGCTACCAAACACTTAACCCTGAAACAGCAGCTATGGAGAAATGGTCGTATCTGCCTATGCGTACCAAAAAAAAAAAAAAAATTATAGAATGATAAATTTGTAAGTAAAATGTAAGAAAAATTCAAAAGTTAAGTGAATATTTAGTTTCACTGGGTGGAGGTGCTCTTAAAAGGTGCACGGTGGGTATTTCTGGCGCCTGTCAACACCCGGTGCCCGACTTTACTGATGTTTCCTGTGTTATCCTCGGGAGTTTCACCAATTGACTATAACTTGTTTCTCTTCATTTACAAGAGTGTGTGTGTTGAGTAACTTGATAAATCACATGATTCACATAACAATTGTTTCAATGACACAACTCTCAATTGATGATTGGTTTCCTTGGTATACTCCGTTACAATCAGTAGAGAGTAGTGAAAAGGATATGAACATAATTTTCAATGGTGTTGGGCTCTGGATGATGAAATATGGCCTAATTAGCACCATATGGCCGAGAATGTAGATTGATAGAAAGGTGTAAACCACCAATGTGGTACTCGCATGATGACTGGCTCTCCTAGTACTGTACATGTAACCATGAGATGGGAGGAGGATTTTGTTCATGGGTCAAGGCAAAGTCCATTAAATCCACAGATAGCTATTATATCCATATTTGCATCATGCATGTAAAACCCAGACAGTAATGGTTTAAATCGTCATATGAGGATGACCGCATTCCCCCCAAGTAATATTTATGATAACCACATTCACCTAGTACACATAACGTGAAAGGTAGCAGGATATTTTTCATAGATCAAGGTAAACCTCATTATGTTCACATAGCTATTATGTCCATATTTGCATCATACAGTACTGTACTGTACATGTAAAATCCACACAATTGTTTCAATCATCATATGACAATAACTGCAGTATCCCATGAATCAACGAATGATAACTGCTATCTTAGGCTTAACCACTGTGCTGCGCCGAGTTTGTGAAACTCGCCCTGTGCGCATGAAATAGTGTTCCCAAAAAATTCTTTTTTCTTCGTAAAATGATAAATTCCCTACCCTGAACATGTCTATGTAAAAATAAATACCAAATTCCACTTACTTTGGTTGCGGGGACGTGGACAAGGTGCGTTGTGACGTCATCAGGGCCTGGTCACCCGTGCGTGACTCGCCCCAGACACGGTCGCGTGGGCCATTTAAGCACCGGGTGTTGCCACAAATATATTTTCAATTATTTGTTCTATGTATTTCCAATGCAGCTTTATTTGTTTTTTATCGTATGATGCATATTTGTGTCCTTTACAATATGTATACAGTAGAACGTTCATAATATTCCATGGAACTGTGATACATGTGTCAGTAACGTGTCCACAATAAATGTTTTCTGTCGCAATATTACTTGTTAAAAATTCACTAAAATTACAATATGTACAGTTTCACACACTATTTACACAGTAACACACTATTACACACTCAGTACTTCGGAAGTAAGTAATAATCAATGAATTAGTCCATGGTGCACAGCGCGACTTCGCTCCCGTTGCACCAGGTACAGATAGATTTTTGCTTCCTGTTTCTTCGTTCTGTGTGCTTGCAAATAGCGCACTCATGTACACCCTTGGCATTAGTACTTGTAGGTGGTATGTAGCCAAGCTTGTAAAGCAAAGGTAGTCTTGAAAAGATTACAGGAAAAGATCAGTTTGTAAGGTAGTCTTGAATAGATCGCTTTGTAAGGTCCCACACAGGAAGAGATTCAGCCAGCCTCAAAGAGTGCCCGTCAGTCAAGAAAAGATTCGGCTATTCTTGAAAATATCTATGGAAAACACCATCATGGAAGCTGCTAACACTGTTCATCTATGCTACTTGTATCAGATGCATCATCACTGAACGCAGAAAACGATTCATCTATGCATCATCTAAATAAATTGGAGATAGCATAGGTGGATAAGGATGGCTCTCGGAGCTACAATTGGATACACTTTCTGTACCGTCCTCATAGGTGCTGTATTACTTGCATCCGACCTTTATGTTAGGTCCTCATTGCGCCTAGCTTCACCAATATTATCACCCCTATGTTCTTCAAACAATAAGGTTTGAATTTCACCGACAGAGCGTTATCTTTCAACACCGCGTCGGACAGGTGTTTGGGAGCCAGAGGTGCGTGTGCCACCCATGGTTGCTCACTCAGTACTAACCCAGCCAGCAGCCCTAGGGCATTCTGAGATTTTTTTCCAAGATGGCTGCCTCTCACTAGAGGTCCTAAGAGTCCAATTCATGCACAACCAACTTCGCACACATTAAGAATGGGTACAAAAAAATCGGAGTTTTCTTGGTTGGCGCAGTTTCCCACCAACCGAGAATACTTGGTTGGCGCAGTCAAGTGGTTAAGTAAAATGGGAAAACCAAATTTAATTTTCAGCTACCCAAATAAAGTCTGAATTGAATTAGTAAACTTTTTAAAGGAAGAATGTTAAAGCAGAGGGTGCCAGAGTCTATAAGATAACTTAAAATTATTGTAACAAGTTTATTATGGCCAAACAGGCAGGGATCTGAAAACCAGCATCACTGAACACAAGAGGTCTGTTAGATTTGGCCAAGGAAGCTCGGCTTTATATAAACATGTGAGACCGATCACAAAATTGAGGGTTAACTCTTGTATAATTTATCCCAACGATGGCTTCAAAAGAAAAATAAGAGTATACTGTACTTTCATAAACAATTATCCAAATTTTAATATAGTATCTCCTCAGGGCAGTTGTTACCAAATTTGGTGAGTTATTATGTAAAATTTATTACCTAAATGCGTACATCCTCTCCAGGACACCTGACTAACACAATGAAAGCAGCTACAGCTGTTATTCACACACACTGGCAAAGAGGATCTCGGGTTGGATTCGAAATACACAATATACGTTTCCACGTTTTCAAAATAGTGGGTCATTTTCATTGATTAGTGTGTGTTTGCACTTCATTTCCATAGTATTTACCTAGTTGTGTTTGCGGGGTTGAGCTTTGCTCTTTCAGCCCGCCTCGCACCTGTCAATCAACTGTTTACTACCACCTTTTTTTTTTCTTTTCTCTCTCTCTCCACACCACACACACACACACCCTAGGAAGCGGCCCGTGACAGCTGACTAACTCCCAGGTACCTGTTTACTGCTAGGTAACAGGGGCATTCAGGGTGAAAGAAACTTTGCCCATTTGTCTCTGCCTCATGTGGGAATCGAACCCGCCACAGAATTACAAGTACTGCGCGCTATCCACCAGGCTACGAGGCCCCTAGTGTGTGTGTGTGTAATTACCTAAGTGTAGTTACCTAAGTGTAGTTACAGGATGAGAGCTACGCTCGTGGTGTCCCGTCTTCCCAGCACTGTCATATAACGCTTTGAAACTACTGACTGTCTTGGCCTCCACCACCTTCTCACCTAACTTGTTCCAACCGTCTACCACTCTGTTTGCGAAAGTGAATTTTCTTATTTCTTCGGCATCTGTGTTTAGCTAGTTTAAATCTATGACCTCTTGTTCTTAAAGTTCCAGGTCTCAGGAAATCTTCCCTATCGATTTTATCAATTCCTGTTACTATTTTGTATGTAGTGATCATATCACCTCTTTTTCTTCTGTCTTCTAGTTTTGGCATATCTAATGATCTATAAGTGTGTGTGTGTGTGTGCGCGTGCGTGCGCACACATGATATGGATCACTACATACAAAAGAGTAACAGGTATTGATAAAATCGATAGGGAAGATTTCCTGAGACCTGGAACTTTAAGAACAAGAAGTCATAGATTTAAATTAGCTAAACACAGATGCCGAAGAAATAAGAAAATTCACTTTCGCAAACAGAGTGGTAGACGGTTGGAACAAGTTAGGTGAGAAGGTGGTGGAGGCCAAGACAGTCAGTAGTTTCAAAGCGTTATATGACAGTGCTGGGAAGACGGGACACCACGAGCGTAGCTCTCATCCTGTAACTGCACTTGGTTAATTGCACACACACAGCCAAAGCACCTCGAATGCTTCCCGAGTCCAAGCCATTGTTCTCCAAGGACTTTTGTCTCTTCCTTTTTCATATACCTTGTTCCCCTCTGTGACAAGTGTGTGTTCTTTAAGGTTTTGTTTGAGGGTGTAATGTGGCTTGGTTTATTTTTTAAATTTTATTCAGTCCCTGTTTGCCTTTGCCATTCCTTATTGGGGATTAATGCTCACATTCTTTGTCATTCTCTTTGAATGACCACCATGTATGTAGTTCTTCAGGCGGTTTTGAGCCAGTCTTAGTTTGTTGCCCTGGACCTCTGGTATACCAATAGGTATACCAATCCTTCAAGTGTTTGGTATAGGGTGAACTGGATTGACTGAAGTTTCAGGTCGAGCACAGCTGCCACTTTGGGCTCAACCTAGTAACCAGAACATTCATTAGGCCTTCTAATGTCATTTTATGGGAGCTGCAGCTAGTCTTCCCAAGTACTAGCCTGCCTCAACAATTTGCCGAGTTGACTTTGTCGTTGTCTCTGACTTTCGACTAAGGATACAACAACGCAAGTGCTGGATTGTTGCAGCTTTGTTATTGAAATCACTCGCAATGCCACCAGTGTTGGGTATGATTTGAGACACCAGGACCAAACTTCTCATTTCAGCCATA